TTTATCTTTATATATATATATATATATATCTTTATTAATATTTATATACAAGGTAATTTGTTTTTATTTCCCCAGTAATGGAATTCTCTAACATTTCATCGACGATTGGTCACTATCGTTAACTAGCGACAGCCGATCTTGGAAAAGCAAGGACAATCCTCGAAAAAAGTGCGGCTCTTATTCGCTGTCGTTAGTTAACGATATCCAAGGTCAAACCAATAATATTCTCTCAGTCCTCGAAGTCATAAAATTTTGTACGAAACGTTTTTTCGTATCTTCTATACTATTATTTGCTTGGAAAAATTAAAATGGAACACCCTGTATAATAATATTAAGGGCTTACATCTTCATATCTTACATCTTTACGAATAAGCTGTTGAAGATTTTCATATTCGAATATATTTTGAGACATCATGTTAGGCTGCATGGAGTTCCTCATCATCATACATTGCTGTAGAAACGCATTATTCTGATTCATCATTAAAGCTGTATTTGCCATTGGATTTATTAGCGGTTTTCCTTTCTTTTCCTCTTCATATTCTAACCAAGCTTGTTTGCGTTCCTCTTCGTCTAATTCCTCTTCCGCCTGTTAAATATAAATTTATTATATAATGTCACATGCATGAACTTTCTTATGTAAAAGAAAAAAATTTTCTCACCTTGTTTTCCAATAGAGAGTCATGTTCATGATAATTTTCCACAATATCCTTGAACTTCAAGAATATCTCTGCTAGCAGTCTATCTTTAGGTAAATTTAATGTAGGTTTTTCTTTATCGTATCCCTCAAACGTATACAACTCGTTTAAATTATGATTGCTGTAATGCCGTTCGATCTGTTGTTCGTCAACGACACGGCACGAAAGCGATAGCTTCGTAACTTGACGGTTGTAAATCTTTTCTTCCATTGTTCCCGCAGCAAGAAATCGATATACGTAACATGGCTTTTTTTGTCCGAATCTGTTGATCATTGTATTGACAAATCAGAGAGGATCGATTTGAAATATATAATTATAAAAAAAGATTAGACAATAAAAGATGTCAAAAGAAGTACCTGTATATCCGAAATATGCTTTGTACGTCGTGAGATGGATTCCAACTGGCGTCAAATATAATCACTCTATTCGCTGCAGTTAAGTTTATTCCTAATCCTCCAGCGCGTGTAGATATGAGGAACAATCTCGCTCTCATATTGGTAGGTCTATTAAATATCTTACACCATAAATTTCGATTTTCAGGCGAAGTCTGACCATCCAATCGGAAGTAATCGAGTCCTAAAGACCAACTTCCAGCATGATTATCAAGAGTGTCACAGGATTCATCTTTCTGAGTCTGATCATCTATTCTTCTTAAAAACTCCTCAATTAAGGTGAGAGAATATAGAGATTGAGAGAATACAAGCCTATCAAATTATATGTAATACAATAATAAATAATAGCAATGTGAAAATTATGTATCAAAAAATTAAATACAAGATAGACGTACACTTTATCACCGATCTGTTCACTTTCTTTTAGAATTGCAAACAGGAGTAATAGTTTAGTTGACTCTCTCATATCTTCAAAATGCTCGGGTTGTACAAACTGCAACCACCATTCTGTGGCCACTTCTGACTCTGAGGTCTCTTTGATCTGTTCCGTAGATTCCTCTTCTAAAAAATTAATTTTATATATATTTAATATCTTTATTTTATTATTTTTTATTTGCATTATTTACGTTTGGTTTAAATGTACGTGTCACAGTCAAAGTGTTAATGTAATAAATACAATATAATACACTTAAGCCCAGTTTCACAATTCACAGTTAACTCTTAACCGAGGTTTAATGTATTTTTAATCTCTTTCTAATTCTAGAATTCTAGAGGTTGAACCTTGGTTAAGAGTTAACCATAAGTTGTGAAACTAGGCCTTACTAGTCAATATATGCACACACATATGAAATTTTACTCTAATAAATAGATATATTCATACTACAATAAAATTTGAACTTTTACTAATAGAAGCATACATTTTCACATCTCTATCCAGCTGCTTCCCCATCACATCAGAATAAAAAAAACGAATAGTTCAGAATTAAGAGTTATTTACGAGCTCAAGAGTTTTAACCTGCTGGGATTTGAGAGAACTCATAAATAGTTCCTAATTATGAGCTATTCGTTTTTTTATTCCCACGTAAGAGGTCAGTAAAGATTTTTCACACCTGTACCTTTAGTAAAAGTATGCATAACAAAAAATGCATCAATTTAAATGAACACTTTTGCTTGCAGATGTGCATACCAACCATTTAATCTGATGTAGCAAATGTATTCACTGTCTAATAAATAATTACATTTTCATTTATAAAATATATAGAAACTTACCGACAGGATTATTTCTTGTATTACGTTTAGAAACGTTAGTATTGTCTTTTTCATCGATCGCCTGAACATCACTGTCATTGTTTGAATCGTTGCTACTGTTGCTGCTACTCTCTACATCGGTAGTATCATCATCAATGAAATCTTTTAACGAACCTTCTGAATCAGAAAGTTCCTTTTTCTCATTTGCTTTTTCTATTTTCTCTGCATTTAAACGTAGGACTAAGGGATGCGTCCAGATTCTTTGTAATGCCTGAAAATCAGCGAAGAGGGTTCTTCCTTGACCAGATAGACGTCTATAGGAGAAAAAGTAATGCTTTCAATCATATAGTCAATTTAATTAAATATTCGCGTTTTAAGTAATTTTTAATTTTTATACATAACTAATATAACATAAAAATGATAACTTTATATAAAATAATTCAATCTCATAAAGTAATACAATTAATAATTGTATTTTCATTTAAACGAGAAGAAAGCACAACAAAAATATAAGATCTTTAAGAGATTCACCTGGCAATATTCTCCAAATAATATTGATATAGTTTAACTTGAACGTCTGTCAGTCTGACGAAAATAACATATTCCTGTTTCGGTGGTAGGAATGGCGTAAGAACGGAGTAATCGAATCT